GAAATGGGCTAAATTAATATGTGAGAATTAGCCTAGAAGAGGCTAGATAGAGATGGGCCAAGCAGTGATTAAATGAATACAGTTTGTGTGTTGTTATTTCGGAGCATAAGCTAGCCAGGCAGCCGGGGTGCTGGGGACGCAGCCCTGTGCTCCTATTACAACAGAGTCAGTGGACTCCAAGTTCAGTGGAACACCCCATCTCCAAAAAGTAAGGTAAATGACAATTGAAGAGTACACTTCATGTTGATCTCTGGCCTTCCCATGCACCTAAAGGTCTTTAGACACACATGGGGGGTGGTGGTTAGGGGTGCTTTGAAAGAAAATGGCCCCTAAAGGGAGTGGCACTGTTAAGAGGCGTGGCCTTGGTGGAGGAAGTGTGTCACTGTCAGGGTGAACGTTGAGGTCTCCTATGCTCAAGCTATGCCCAGTGTCACAGTTCATTTCCTGTTGCCTGTGGATCAAGACTGTCAGCTTCTTCTCCAGCACCAGGTCTGCCTGCATGTCACCATGTTCTGCCATGATAATGAACTAAACCTCTGAAACTGCAAGCTACCCAATTAAATGTTTTTCTTTATAAGAGTTGCCAGTCAATAAAAACCCCAAGATAGACAGAGAGAGTGAGTGGGGGTATATCTTGTATCTGTATAAAAGCATGTACAAGGTATGCAATAATTTTGGAGACTCAGTTGAGCAGAAACGGGAGATTTCAAATTCGGCTTCAGATACCTTTCTGTATTTTAAATGTGTATAATGACAACACATTAAATTTGGTTATGTTGTTATTTGAGAGAGAGAGAGAGAGAGAGAGAGAGAGAGAGAGAGAGAGAGAGAGAAGGAGAGAGAGGGAGAGGTGTCTCAGGTAGGGGGCTGGAGAGATGGCTCAGTGGTTAAGAGCATTGTCTGCTCTTCCAAAGGTCCTGAGTTCAATTCCCAGCAACCACATGGTGGCTCACAGCCATCTGTAATGGGTCTGGTGCCCTCTTCTGGCCTGCAGGCATACACATAGACAGAATATTGTATACATAATAAATAAATATATAAATATTTAAAAAAAAGAGAGGTCTCAGGTAGCCCAAATTGTCCTCCTGGGTAAGGCAAGTGCTAGGGACTATACTCACGTGATATCATTCCCAGCTTTAGTTTTGTAAAATGCTTAAATAAAAGGCAGACAACATAAAATTCCTTTTGAAAAGTGTGTTCATTCACTCACCGCTAAGGTTCAGAGATGACTTCAGAAGAGGGCTGGAAAGGTTCTAAGAGCCAGAGGATCGGGGAGTGTGCTATGTGAGTGTGTCTTCTAGTAATGTCAGAAGCTACACTTGAAGTCTCACCAGTAGGAACATCAGCTAAACAAGGACAATGCCAATAACCTGCTAACATGGAAGGGGGAAAGCCCAGTAGGCCTCAACGCTACCCAGAGAACCATAGGCAACTCAGGAGTGCTGAGAGCAGGAGAAACAGTCTTCCTCAGGGAAGAGTGCCAACTGGTTACCCAGTGCTCAGCCCTGAAATATCCATATGGCTAACATACAGAAGGAGACACACATATGCATGTAACAATTAATGAAAAAAGACGCCATGAATTTGAAAGGGAACAAAGAGGATTATAAGGGAGGAAAGGAAAGGGGAAAATGATAAAATTATTATAATCTGAAAAAGAAATTAATTGAAAAATATAAAGTGTGTTATTCATAACTTCAGCATATTTGTAAGGTCATACAATCACCAATTATTATCTTATTTAAGACACTCGTCACTGCCAAAAGATAACCACCTATATTAATAGTCCCTCAACTGCCCCATCTCTGTAGCCACCGGCAACCAATAATAATCTACCTTTTACCTTTGACTTTCTGAGAACTTCATATAAATTGAATCATACCATTTGTGAATGTGACCTATTGTGTCTGGCTTCTTTTTGTTGTTGAGACAGGGTTTCTCTGTGTAGCTCTGGCTGTGCTGAAACTCTGTACACTAGACTGGCTTCGAACTCAAGAGATCCACCTGCCTCTGCCTCCTGAGTGCTGGGATTAAAGGTGTGTGCCATCACTGCCCGGCTGGTATCTGGCTTCTTTAAGCATGTTTTCATGGTTCATCACCACTAAGCATATATCAAGAATTTGCTCCATTTTAAGGCTATAGATTACTTTTTCTGTTTTTAATTATGTGGGTACGTGCATGCACGCGCTTGTGGGCGCCTGCAGAGGCCATAAGAAACCATTGGATTCCCTGGAGCTGGATTTACAGAAGATTGTGAGCCATAGGGTATGGATTCTCAGAACTGATCCCAGTCCCTCTGCAAGCCATCTCTCCAGACCCTAGATTACTTTTAAAAAATTGTGTGTGTGTGTGTGTGTGTGTGTGTGTGTGTGTGTGTGTGTACACGCATGGCTGCAAGTGTCTGAGGAGTCCAGAAGAGGGGTGGAATTTCTTGGAGCTGGACTTTACAGGTGGTTGTTAGCTGTCCAACATGGGTGCTGAGAACTGAACTTGGGTCCTCTGTAAGGGCAGCAAGCATTATCTCCTGAGCCATTTCTCCAGTCTCTACAGATAACTGTTACAAAAGATTTATTTCTATCTGGTGGTTGTGACATACGCCTTTAATCCCAGCACCCAGGGATCTCTGTGAGTTCCAGGTCAGCCTGGTCTACAGAGTGAGTTCCAGGACAGCCAGAACTGTTACACAGAGAAACCCTGTCTCAAAAATCAAACCAAAAGATGTTGTTGGTGGTTAGTTTTTTTTGTTTTGTTTTGTTCTTTTTTTTAAAAAAAAAAAAACTCTTTGTTCTTTTGAGGGGGCTGCCACACAGTTCCCAAATACACAGAGGCTTATTCTTACTTATGAATGCCCAGCCTTACCTTGGCTCATTTCTCGCCAGTTTTTCTTAAATTATCCCCTCTACCTTTTGCCTCTGGGCTTTTACCTTTTTCTATTCCTGTATATCTTTTCTTTCCTTCTTATTCCGTTCGGCTGGCTGTGTTGCTGGCCCTTGTCGTCCTCTCTTCCCTTTGTTGCTCTTCCTATCTCCTCTTCCCAGATTTCTCCTATTTTCTCTGCCAGCCCCATCTTTGCTTTCTCCTGCCTAGCTATTGGCCAATCAGCTCTTTAGTAGGCCAATCGGGTGCTTTAGATAGGCAAGGCAAAGTAACACAGCTTCACAAATGCAACATAAAAGAATGCAACACATCTTTACATCATTAAACAAATGTTCCACAGCATAAACAAATGTAACACATCTTCAACTAATGTTCCATAAGATTTACTTCTATTTTTGATTATATGCATATGTGTGCATCTATATGTGGGTATGTGTGTATGAGTACAGGTGCCCAAGAAGGCCAGAAGAGGGTGCTGGGTCCCCTAGAACTAGGATTTGAGGTGGTTGAGCTGTTCAATGTATAAATTCAACTGCTGAGCCATCTCTCCAGTCCTTAGATTACTCTTATAAATAATTTCAAAATCCTAAGTGGTTCTGATTTCTAAAATATGTGGAAGCACTTCACCCTTCTGGAGAAATCACTCTACAGGAAAACAAAAGAACATCTTGAAACTCAGCATCCATGTTACATTATTTCTGCCTCGATATTCCTAACTCTTAATACCTAGTAACAGGTCTTGTTTCCAAGATTACCCACCACATCACAGTCCTCTCTCTCTCTCTCTCTCTCTCTCTTCTCTCTCTCAAGACAGGTTCTAACAGGCTCCTTAAACAGTCCTACTGTTCTCACATCGCTTTATTCAAGTATTATCAGTCATACAATACACCTAGCTAGCGCCTTGTCCATCTGGCTTTCATTTTCCCTATCTCCCCGCTAGCATCATAACACAGTCACAGAAGAAGGCAAAGGCATAATTTGGAAGTTTGTGATGTGTTCTCTTTTCTGAGCCAAATTCTTAAGTAGCCCAGGCAAGTATTGAACTTGCTAGGTAGATGAGGGTGGTCTTACACTCCTGATCCCCCAAGTGCTGGAATTACAGATGTGCACCACTGTTTATTTTTGAGACTGGGTCTCACCAGGTAGTTCAAGTTGGCCCTAAAATGTGTGATCATCCTGCCCCCACCCCCAGTGCTGGGATTATGTTTATGAGCCACTTTGCCCTCTGCCTCTCTCCCTCTCTATAGGAGGCTACATCTCACTATGTAGCTTTGTAGACCAGGCTGGCCTTGAATTCACAGTCCACAAGGCCCTCCTGTCTCTGCCTCCCAACTGCTACTGCTGGGATTAAAGGTGTGTGACACCATGCGTGGCTCTCTGCTGTCTTCACAAAATGTCAGGCCTGACTGGCTTCACCACGCTGACCTAATGGGCAACACACCTCCCATAGTAACATTTTCAAATGTAACTTTTCCCAAGCGATAGTTACTTGACAGTTTCCATCTTCTAAATAAAGTCAACCATATATTTGTGTTGTCTATTGTTAATGTCCACTTGAATCCTCATCCAAACAAGGCAGTTAGGTGATACAGAAACTAGCACTTGCCTTCACAACTAGACACTTAATATACAAATAGGAGGTTTTGTTTTGGCATCTTTAATAAAGGGTAGACCTGGTCCCCAGCACATGACAAAATTGTTTTCTGGTCTTCTTAAGGAGTGGAACATCTCTTTTTTTTCTCCCACGTGTGTATGTGCGTGCACACAAACGCGTGCGCGCACACACACATACACACACATCCTTTATAAAAAAGATGGGCCTGGTAGACCTGGTAGGTATACTAGGCATGACTGTGCACACCTGTAATACTAGCACTTGGGAAGTGGAGGCAGAAGAATGAGATCACAGGTCAACCTGTGCTATATGATACCTTCTCTCTAAATAAATGGCCTGGTTATTGAATTTTCCTAGGAAATAGTACTAGGGCTTCAATATGACCTTTAGTAATTGCTAGGAACTGCAGATGGAAACAATAAGCAAGTTGTCAACAGTTGTATTAGCAAAAAAAACCCCATATAGCTCTTCATTTCCATATTTTATTAGTCATTTAGATGAGACTTAATCATGGATTTTAAATACATAGAGACAAACTTGTGCCAGGAACCAGTAGGTAGCATTTGTAGAAAAGCACATCATTGTACGTTTCAGCTATCCCTCCATAAGAATGCAGGGTTAGAAACTACATATGGGAGACATACAGTCCATGAATTGAAGTTTTGATTCCTGACCTGGGTAGGATCAAGCTCAACACACGAGCAAAGTTCCAGTAGTAAGCAGGTAGAATAGCTGAATGACCATTACTTGTCAGCTAATCTGTACTGGGTGTTTTGATGTGTTCATTTGCAGAGTTTACAAACTGACTTGGTGGCAGCGGACTTGTATTGGGGATCTGAACCATGTATTAGAAGGACCAAGACAGAATGCGACTCTATTGTCTTTAAAAGGTTGCTGTTCCTCTGCATGATGCCATCTTTATATTGTCAAACTCCAAACTGTTCACATTCGTTTTCAACCAGACTCTTCTAGTCCAACTGCTTTTGAGGTATGCATCACACCAGGGGACTGAACTCAGGGCCGAGAGTATGCTGGCCGATCCCGACCACTGAACTCCCTCTCTAGCCCTCCTCCTATATTGGTTTATCTTCAAACGATTAAACATACTACATTTTTGTATTTCACTTGGAGTAAAGAGAGAGTGAACAAACAAAGAAAGCACTACTGTTATTACCAAACAACCGTGGATACACGCTCTTACAAAAAAACACACAGATCTGAAATTCAGAACTTATTTATTGAACGGATATGCAAGAATACCAATAAAAGGAAACTAATACTACGAACTACAATTTTGAAAATAAAGCCAATATAACAGGAACAAAATATACATAACATGTGAGGAATGTTTGATTTTTGACCCATGAAGCATTCCTTATCTTTACAATTAACTTAAATGTCTGTTAAAACAAAACTGTGCCTTGGTCTAACTTCAGTGCTTTTTCAAAAAGCAACAACATTCTACAACACTTTTGCTTTGAGATATTTGAGATTCACACATTTGTTCAAGTACATAGATTCGATTCAATAGCAGATGTATATAGATCACGTTCTGTTAGTATCTTGAGTAGTATATACTGAACAAGTACCACCTCAAGTTTGAAACTGCTGATCCTTGAAATGAAATTTACTTCAGGTGTGGGTTTTTAAACAATGAGATGAAAGTAAAACACCCCCTCCCCCCAGGAACTTATTAAAGTATAGAAACTCAAGTCTACCCTTCTACTCTAAAGAACATTTCCTACTAACGTTTCTGGTAAGGCAATAAACGCACCAGAATAATCTTCAATATACGCTTGCAAAGATTACACGTTTTAATATTAATAATGACAAAAAAAGAATAAAACAAAGAAAAAACAGGAGAAAAAAGACGCATCAAAATTTCAGGCTAAAATACGCATAAGACAGCCATGGCAGTATTTTTGGAAATGATGTAAATGCCATATATTTACCAAATAATGTCATGCTTATTAAAACTACAGTTAAGGACTTAAGAGATGTACAGTAAATACACTGCTGAGGTCCATTTATCTAAATATTAATACCACAATGTAATTACTAGCCAGGTGATGAAGATGCTACTTGGGAACACAAGTACTGTACAATTTTTACATTGTAAGGCACTTTTACTCAGCATAGAATGAAAACAGAAACAAAGAATCAAAATATTGGAAGTTTACACCCAAACATGAGTTTTTAATGTGACTTCAGTTTTAAATGAAGGTTATTTAGCCAATCACACCACAGTGAGAAAAACAGGTAGTCAGCCACTTATCTAACCAACCAAAAGGTAAAGTGCTTTTCTGGTTGCTAGTGGCAGAGAAAGGGCTAAAAAACCCATACAAAGTCATACATTTACTACATATCAAATCCATCAACTGACAGCTATAGTATTTGAAGTCCTGTATATAATTATTGACTGGCCATAATTACCCCTGGCACCTTCCATTTTTCTTAAAAAATTCATTACAGTAGTTGTCCAAAAATGAAGGAGCTCTATTTCTCCATGGGTAAGTTCTATGGCACACAATGTAAAAATTACCTAGACACAGTGATTTAAAGATTTAAAAAATAATGTTTTCAAGCTGTTATAAGGAAATAAAGTACAGATCCTTTGGAAAAAGTCACATCGCTTGGTAAACAAACTGAGATCTGTCCTTGCACTTCAAGTCATGATGAACCTTGAAAATTAATCACATACACATCATGGCATATTAAGAGCAAAAGGAGAAGACGTACAAGGCAATCCACTACTAAAGCTAGTTTCCTTCTAAAATAACAATAAAAGATGGTTAAAATAAAGCAAGCATCGAGTCCCTTGATTTAAGTAAATGTGTAAGTACACATTTTAACAAACATGATCTTAAGGGACTAGCAGTTTAAAAATTCAGTCAATAAGCACAGTGTAATTTTCCACCTGTTACATTTAAAAATGCTGTTCAACCAGCTGCAGAAAAGATCAATGTACAGTCAAGTTAGTATGTTGTTATTTGCAAATCTGGTCATTGTGGTAGGTTAACTAATAATTCAGAGCTCAGAATCCCTACCTTTCATACTGAGGTGCTATGGTAATATTAGGCAGACCACAACTATTTTTTTTGGCTTTGCCATAAAGAAATATATAAATGTGCTTCAGCAGGTAAGTGGAAGAGCGCCACTAGCGAGAGACGCCAGTGGAAATCCTTTCTAAAAACCTGGTGATTAAGAAACACTTCCGAGCCCTAGAAGAAAGCAGGGCACAAAAGCCTATTCAATATGTAAGCAAACCAATGACTGAAAGCATTAAATAAAGTTTCTAAAATAGTGGTCACAAAACCAAAAATAAATACTGTTTTCCTCAAAGCCTTTTTTCTTTTTCTTTATAATCTGTTAGCACAGGAGACCTCCTGATATACTTTGGACCAGGATGTGAAGTGTTCCACACAACAGGGCACTTGACAGGAACTCATTTTGGACATGGTGTCCAAAGTCCTTAGCGCATTGGTAACCTCTTTAATCTCACAGAGGTTTAATTGGCTGCTGTCAAAGATTATTTTGCCAGAAGTTCTCTGTACAGCACAGAAAGGTGTACTGACAAGAGAATTTTGGAAGATGCGCTAGAGCTCAGAGCTTCTCATCCCCAGTTGCCCAGAGTCCATGCCTGATCAGTGAGAACGACTCTAAAAAGGAAGGCTTCAGCACACTTCTTGGAAGAAACGTTTAACATTTGCTGTGGAAGCCAAGATAAAAAGAAGGTTCTTTTCATTTGTAGTTTCCATTGCTTGAGTATGAAAAAAAAGGTTCACAAGTTACCAGGTGTCGCCACCAGAGGCGTGCTTGCATGGTGAAGTACAACTTGCTTCCGGTTTCCTTTGAGCATGGATCCACTACAAACTTAAACATCCTAAGTAGCAGAACTTTGTTCAGTCCAGACATACAGTTTACTTCATCCGATGTCTGTTTTAACTGCTGACAGTATACACATGGTTAATAGTGTTTCGATTGCTTCCCAGAAACTGCAAACTACAGCTACATAATATCAATATGTCAAATTCGGCCATCTAGTGAGGCTCAGAAAACAAACAAGGGGTTTTTCCGGCAGTTCAATAAAGGATCTAAGAGTGGGGCAGTAAAAAGTTACAAACCCTTTTTTTTTTTAATTTAGAAAAGAGTGAAAAGCAAAAAAGCATAGGAGTTACAGATGTCTTATTCTCAGTTTTCTAACTCTCTCTGTCCCAGGAACCTGTTTAAAAGATGATAAAACATGTAAAATATGATGCTTACGGTGATATAACGAATATAACATTATTGAGGAATAAATAGGGATAGCTTATTGATTTCACATTCTGACTATATTTACTGATAAAGTAGATAGCTTGTGTTTATGCTTCTAAAACTGACCAGCTTAAAAAAAAAAACACAATTGTGCAGGCCTAGACAATCCTCAGCATTCTGGCACTACACTCGTAACTCAATATAATAGGATTAAAATTCTTGCTGCACATTGTCTTTCTGTTTCAGTGTACATGGTATTCTCACAAGAGAGCTCGTCAAATCCACTTCCATACCTAGTTTCCATTAAGCTGCTGCTGGGTTAGTTGCTGATCAATCGCTAATCTTCCCCGGCTTTTACTCTCTCGCTCCTCATCTTCTTCATCTCGCTCATCATTTCCACTATGGTTTTTACAATATAGTCTACAATGACAAAAGACAAACATCTCACAGTCCTTTGTCGAATGTTGATGAGAGTATAATGAAATCATCACTAGCAGAGGTTGGTTCCCCTATAAACTATGGGCTTCCTCATTCACACTTAGTACCATGAGATCCATCATCATCAGGGAAGGGCACCTGAGGATAAGCCCCATGCTGGAAGGAGACAACGGCCTCCCCAAAGGTCTCCACTTGCATAGACAATGCCACACACGTGCTTCCAACAAATAAATAGAAGAAAAGCAATAAATTTCTTTAAAAAAACAACTTTTCTAGACACTCTGGAGGGCTATTCAACTGTGAGGTCTGCTCCGGAGTGACACCCTGTTTTAAAACAACCCAAAAATCAACTTTCAGGTAAACAAATGAACTAACGAAATGTTACAAATTTACTTCAGTTACATAATTTACATTCACATTTTGAGAACTATACCTTTAAAAAATATTTACTTTGTGTTTTTTGTATGTATGTGCATCCAGAAACCAGAAAAAGACACTGGATCCCCTCCCTCAAAGAGAAAAAAGTGTTCTTAGCCACTGAGCCATCTCTCTGGCCAAAGAATAATTAAAGGTGCTTGCCTCGACCTCCAGATGCCCTTGTTTAATACCCAGGACCCACATGGTGAAAGAAGAAAAATGAGCAGACAGACAGAGAGATCCATTTTCTACACCCTGTGACTTTCTGCTTGTATTTCATGACAGAGCCTTCCTCAAGGTCCTCCAGTGCCTCTGCATCATGAGCGTCCTCCTTGCCTTCTTTAGGAATCTGTCATTTCCCTGCATTGTACTTGGCTGTCCCTTCATCTACACTGGCCCTGCCAATTTCCTTTCATTTCAGAACACCGACCCTTTTAAGACGGCATTGGCTGTAATCCCAGCACTCGGGAGGCAGAGGCAGGCGGATCTCTGTGAGTTCGAGACCAGCCTGGTCTACAGAGCTAGTACCAGGACAGGCTCCAAAGCTACAGAGAAACCCTGTCTCTAAAAACCAAAAAAAAAAAAAAAAAAAAGACGGCATTGGAACAGCTTGTCAGCTGCAAACTGGATTTGTCTACTACCACTTTATTTGGTTCTCTCTCACTCCATTTCATACAAACCAGGAATAAAGCTGAGTTTGATCAGCTTCAGTCTGTAAATCAGGATGCTCTACAACTGATCCTGTCCACTTCTAGGGTCATGTGATTTCCAATTGTCCCCTAATGGTGCTATACTTAAATTATATGATTAAGGCAGCAGTGCCCAAGGCAGAGTTAGTCCTTGTATATGTAGCTTTCCCTTGAAAACAAGCAAGTGCTTGCTGGAGTGATTTTTTTTCTTAGACTGTATATTTGAAAGACATGAAGTTTTTAAGGGAAAATGATGTAGGTAGCTTTTGATAATTAGTTGTGGAAGGGAGAATGCAAGTTCAAGGCCCGAGCAGACAACCTAGTAAGACCCTGGCTCAAAAAAGAAAAAAAAAAAAAAAAAAAAAAAAGTAAAGAAAAGAAACAAGGAAAGAAGAGAAAGCTAAGAATATAGCTCAGTGCTAGAGTATCTACTTAGCATGTACATATTCAATTCCAAGAAACACACATGACACACGCATGCACACACAGACACAATCATAGAAAAGGTGATCTGATGGTACATGCACTCAATAGACTTTTACCTAGCCAGAAAAAAATGCATTGGTAGGTATTGGTAAAGGAAAATGGATGAAAGTGGAGATCATTCTGTTAATTAAGATCAGCTTCACAAAGACAAGTGTGTGGAAGCTAGGGGGTAGAAAGACCATGCAACAAAAAAGGACATTAAGGATGGGGATTGAAGGGCTAAATGTGATTAAAGTATGTTACATGCATGCTATAACGAACAAAACCCCTTTATACAGTTAGTATATTGTAACAAGAAAAAAAGAGAAGAGAAAAGAAAGACTGGGGAGAAGATGATGGTGGTGGGCTGAATCAAACTCGGTTTTAGGTAATTTTTACAGCAATGATGGAACAGTGCCCTCTTGTGGTCAGTAGTGGAGAGAGGGCCCAGCAGAAGCCAGAGACCTGGAACCAGACCAATGAATGACTCATTGCAGCAAATGAATACTTTCAAGTAAAGACGCATGAACTAAAGGGCACACTGTGTGACTCACTGTGACGTGTTGTGGCTTCCATGATGAGATTTCCCCCACTTTTCTCCCTTTCTTTTCTTTTAAGTTTTATTTTGGGGTGGTCGGGGGCAGAGGACAGGATACGAAGGAACAGGGAAATGAATGGGATCAGGATGCAGGATGTGCAATCCACAAAGAATCAGTGAAGATTTATTTCTCACAAGGTTTAAAAGCAACATTTGAATAGAACAGATGGTAAGGATGGACTTGGAGTACTATAATTGAATACAAGCTATGTGGGGTTTTTGGGGGGACAGAGTCTCATTATGTAGCCAATGAGAACAAGCAGTCCTACAGACAGACCTAGAACTCAAATGTAGCCTAGTTGAGCCTCAAACTTATGGTACAAGTGATACCAATTTGGGATTTTTTTTGTTCTGTTTCACTGAGGCAGTTTTATAAAGCCCAAGTTGACCTCAAACACACTGTGGCTGCGGCTGCCCTAGCACTCCTGAGCCTCCAGCCTCCATATTCTGATCTTGAACTTGCTATGTAGTAGTGCATGACGTTGAACTGTTGAACTCCTGCCTCCACATCCCAAGTACTGTATACACAACTGTTTTTATGATATGATAGGGACTGAACTCAGACAAAGGGCTTTATGCATGCTAGGCAAGGTCTCCACCAGCTAAGCCAACCCGGCACTGAAATACTTTTCTGACAGATAAAAAATTAATCTAAATGTCTAAACCAGGAACCAATAAAAAGCCAATTAACCCATACAGTGGAAAACCACACAACCATTAAAATTGTTGTGAGTTGTTTAGTGTCTCAGATAGAATAAATGGAAAACAGATTGTAAGCAACTGCCAACCACATCTGACATCTTCCCTCTGTGTGCCTTATAGATGAAGAATATCAATCTTATTTAAGCTGCAATTTTGCTACACAGAGCACACCAATTTACTAGAGAAAAAAACTATGCTCTGATTACTACTAAGAGAAAACTGTCAACATTTTTGGATTTGCTTAACTTTATATTGGTGTCTAGATTAATTTGGTTGACTAGGTATCTTTTAATGCCAAGTCCATCTATTAAGAAATGTAATATGCTTCATCTGAGTGCTTAGCAAAATGCAACTGTTTTTAAAATTGGTTAAAGTTGAGGAGCGGGACCGAGGGGGGACATTTTTCCTTCACATTTTTAAACCAATTATTACTGAAATTGCCTTTTAAAAGGCATCTCATGTAGTGCAATCTTACTGTGCTTTCATTTATTTTCCTGAGTTTAAACTTGATTCCTTTGCACTGTACATCTGGGTTGGTGTGTGTGTGTGTGTGTGTGTGTGGTGCTGGGAATGAAACTTGGGGCCTCCGTCAACTGTGCTACTACCACTGAGCTATGCTGTAGCCCCTTTTCTTGTTGCAAGAGCTAACCTCTAGAGCAATTGAAGGTAATGCTGGTAGCTGGCACCTTTGTCTTGTTCCTAATCGGAATAAATACATATGCTCAGTCTAATTGTTCCATTAGAGATGAGCATGAGCAAGAATCACCTTAAGTTTGATCCTCATTGCAGCCCTACTGAACTGAAACATGTCTGGTAGGTTACAGACATGGACATTTCCAAAAAGACCCAATCTGCATCTGTAATTCTGAGGCCCACCTTGCATCAGGGGTCATTGCTCTTTCCCTTCAATGCTAAATAAACTATTTGTTGTTTTCTCCTGGACACCCTATCATGATTCTTAACTTAGCAAAGGTATCATTGAGATGATACTCTAAGGTTCTGAAACTGACACTCAAAGTTATAAAGTGGTCTTTCATCCATTTACCTGGAAGGTGATGACATGGTTTTTCTTTACTAATTTACAATAGACCACATGAACACTTATTTTCCAATTTTAAACATCTGATTACAGAGCTGGGTTTATGTTTACAGTTTATATTGACTATGCAAACATATGCACTGATGAGACAGGTACAGCTTGATTTGAATGGTTTGCTATTACAGTTAAGCAAGTCTTACACAATAAAACAGAAGTCTCCCATCTCTTGTTAGCTCTCTATATAATATTTGCATTATCTGTTGCTTAGCGGCCTGAGAGCATTAGCATGTTATATGTGCCCCCAAAGGGCTTGATGACTCAACATACAACTGCTTTTTCTACAAACAAGAGACCCAGAAGTATGTTTAATTGCATATTAGTTATTGTTTTACTAAATATTAAGTCCATGGAAGTGTTTCACAACTCTCAAGGGCAAATCAAGTTCCAGGGATTCCTATCAAATTCATTCTCCATCTGATGAAAGGAATGGAACTACTATAGACACACAAGTAAGTGGAAGACCAATTACAAAAAGTGATATGCAATCCCAAATTTCAGAAGATATTCTGTCTTCCTGTCTTGTGCGAGGACTGAATTTCATACACACCAAGAAAGTACTTTAATCCAAGTATGTCAAGCAGAAGCAGAAAGGAGACAAGATGAACTACCATGCTATCGCTGATGAAGCAGGTGAAAATGGTGGATAATCTCAACTAGGGTGCAGTTGTGAAGATAAAGCCAAAAGACGTCTTGGCAAGACTGGAAGGCTAGACAAGATGTACATACCTTTAATCCCAGCACTAAGGGGGCAGATATGTGTGATTTCAAGACCAGCAAGGACAACCTTGTTTTAGAAAAAAAAAAAAACAAAAGCAACCCTAGAATTTGTCTCAGTGCTAGAGTGCTTACTTGGCATGTGTACAGCAGAACACCTGTGCTGTGTTTACCTTTGTCTTCTACATCTCAGCTCCAGCAATTCTGTTTTCTGTTTTTAGCAAAATCTCAAACACTTCTTACCACAGGTTAGGTTAGCTTTTTCATCTAGATGCTTACATAATGTATAATTGAGCAATGACTTGTCTGTCATTTAATTAAATGGTAGAGCTGTTGGGAGAGCTTAACAAACTTTAAGTTTCCTAACGACAGTCTTGTGCCTGAGTGATCACTAGTGAATGACCAGCGCATACAGTCAGAGAAAAATGCTAACTGTAGTCCTCATTCCTGATACAATAGCATCAGTGTTCTAAAATTGCCTGAAACACTGTTGAAGCATAGAGATGAAGAAAGTAGTGCATCTTTCTAAGGGCACTAACTTCCTGGCATGTTAAAGAAACAGACAGTTGTTATCTTACTTGTAAATTCCTCGTGACATATTTTCAATGTATTTTGCTTTGTCTTGTACTCCACAGTGATAATGGTAGGTTTTAACACAGGCTTTTATTTCGCATCCAATAGTTGCACCAGGCTGACTGCAAAGTGTGCATTTCTGTTTAAAGAAAAAGAACAGTTAGAAGCAGTACTTCAAGGTGTAGGCAATCTTATTTATTCTATTTTAAGTATATTTTAGCCAACTACTTCCATTTCTATAGAAACAGCAGACAGGAGCTGGTGAAATGACTCAGTGATTACGAGTATTTGCTGCTCTTGCAGAGAACTAGAGTCCAGTTCCCAACAACCATGTTGCACAGCTCACAAATGCCTGTAACTCCAGGTACCAGATGCCTACGTCTGGCCTCCATGGGTACCCTCATCCATGTGTGCATAAAATCATCCATGTGTGCATAAAGCACACACACATGCACACAAACAAAAATAAATATTAAAAATAAAAAACAGCTGATATTTTCTACTAAAAAATACACCAAAAAAGCACAGTTATATAGCATATAATCAAAGCTGTGACAACATATATGGTTGGACTATAAATACAGATGACACTCCTTAATTTTGCCAAGCACAAAAATAACATTAGGTATTTTAGTGGTTTGACACCTTTTCCTTCCTGAAATCATATCCTTTCTTATTATGATTGGAAAAAATGAGAAAAACAGGAAAGCAATCCCTCCATTAGGAGGCTCACTACTAAGTTTCCAGAATGGCAAAGGGAGACTTATGGGGCTGAAATCTTTTCAAAACTTCTCAGCTTCTCCTAAATAATACTGTGAGATTAACAGGTGCCCACTGCAAAAGAGGTCTCACAGTGCAGTAAGTCTGACAAACAAGAGGTAGGCAGATTGTCTTTCCCCAGAATGTTTCATAGCCCTTCTCCAGGATAGGGGCATAGTAAATAGCCTACACACTTATTCCACTGCAGTTAGCCTTTTATGTTTAGACTGGTAGGAAAGGACCATGATGCACTAATTTCTACTGGAGTAGACACAGGGGACTAGCATTTACCCTAACCTTTAACAGAGTCATACAATAAATTCATCAAGAGAACTGAATTTTTGTCCCACTCACTTATTTAGACTTCTGTCTAGATAACACAGCACCACCACACAGGAGGATAAGGTGACTTTCCTATATGTTTGGTACTAAGGATTTCAGCTTCAAAGTAATCACATTTAACAACCAAATGAGCTGAATCTAAAGAACAGACAATTGTCACATTTGAAAATAAGTTCCACAAAGAAAAAGTCATTTCTAGTGGAGCTGGACAAGGACCCTAAATATCTGAAGCTACCACATGAAAGAGTGAAGGAGAACTTCACAACAAACTGATCACCCCATCCAGGACCAGCCATAATGTACTCGATAGGTAACCCAGGGGAAGATAGAGTCCTTCTTGTACAATACTAATATGGCCCCAAGTGTTGAAACTGAATCTATTCATACCCTTATGTGTAATTCCCAGTTTCTTTTTAAAAATTACTTTCTGTGTTATGAGTGTTTTGCCTGTATGTATATATGTATGCATGTATGTGCACCACATGCATGCCTAGATCTTGGAACTGGAGTTACAGTTGAGTATCATGCAGGTGCTGAGGATTGAACTTAGGTCCTCTGTAAGAGCAGAGGACTTAACTGCTGACCAACACTCCAGTCCCTTATTTAATTTTTCAAATGACTCACTTTATTTTTTAGATCTTTTTAATATTTATATATTTATTTTGTTTTGTTCATTTATTTGAAACAGGGTTTCTCTGTGTAGCTTTGACTATCCTGGAACTCTCTCTGTAGACCAGGCTGGCCTTGAACTCAGAGATCAGCCTACCTCTGCCTCCAGAGTACTGGGATTAAAGGAGTGTGCCACCACTGCCCAGTCTTTTATTTTATGTGTATGGGTGTTTTGTCTGCATGTCTTTCTATGCACCATATGCTTGTAGTGTCTGCGAAGGCCAGAAGAGGGTGGAGGGATCATGGAATGGTACTTAAAGATGGCTGCGGACCATCATGTGGGCACTAAACATTGAACCCAGCTTCTCTGGAAGAGTGGCAAGGGCTCTTAAGCACCGAGTCCTCTCTCCAGCCACTTACTTTTTAAAAGATTTATTTTTAATCATGTATATGTGTGCAGAAACATACACATGTGAGTGCAGACACCTATGGAAATCAAAAGAGGGTGTTGGATTCCCTGGAGCTAGAGTTACAAAACTCAAACACTAGTACATTCTCTTTACCCTTGAGCCATCTCTCCAGTCTCTGTAATTCCCACTTTAGATAGCAATATGGAGGATAGACAAACAAGTTTAAAAAGCAAACAAATGTATAGTTTGTGTTTTTCAACAAGTCAGAGAAAGTGAGACAGAGGGGGCTGGAGAGATGGCTAAGCAGTTAAGAGTACTAGTTGCTCTTCCAGATGAACCAGGTTCAATTCCCAGCAACCACATGGTGCTTCACAATTAACTGTCTTTAGCTCCAGTTCCAGAGTACCCAATACCATCTTTTGCCCTCCTGGGCACAAATGTGCATGAATACATGTAGACAAAACATCTATATACATAAAATTAAAAGACAAAAGAGATTGGAAGAGGAGGCACTGGCCTGTGTTATGTAAGGGATATATGAAGCAAATGTAGGGGCCGGAGAGATGGCCACTTTTGCAGGGAATCCAGGTTTGGTTCTAGCATCCACATTGTGGCTCACAACCTTCCTTAACTCCAGCTGTAGGGAATCTAATGTCTCTTTCTGGCCTCTACAGGAACATGCAGAAACATGTATATACAGACACACACACACAGACACACACACACACACACACACACACAAAGATAAAATCTAAAAAGGGGAAAGAATCAAATGTGACAATTCATAGGAAGACCACTGGGATTCACTGTCCACCAGCCTAGCTTCAGGTTTAGAGAAATACTGTATCTCAAAGGCACAAGGTGGAGAGGGGCAGGGTAGGACATATGACATGACTCTTTTTTCCAAATGTACTCACATAGGCATGAGCAACCCACCCCCCACCCCCACCCCAATGAAAGACTTCAAGCAGTAAGAATAAAAAGCACAGGTGAAATAAGTGCTATAAATTCTCAGTGACTGATGAATTGGAATAGAGGAAATTTTCACAATAAAACTTGAAAGAGGTTTGCATTCCACTGGCCCTCCACATTCATCAGCTCTAACGTTGTGCTTCTTAAAGCTACTGACCAGTAATCAGGTTATATTTAAAATTATGAAGTACTTCATATTAAATTTCTGATAACTAGATAAATATGAGATTTGCCTTAAATTTAAAGCAGAATCTAATGCAATATGTATATGTGTATATGTATATATATAAAAATCACAGACCATCCTTTTTCCTCGTTTAATCTCCTGAAGTACAGTTTTAATATCAAAATCTCCAAATTCTGCTCTTGATGTTGTTGTGAGCTGGACAGTGCCAGAAGAAAACAACTATAAAAGAAAAATGCAGAACATAACCACTTAGCAGTTCTTATAAGAAAAATTTAAGCAGTGCAGTAACAAGTCATTAATTTCTATAACTCCCAGAGCAAGATTTTACCTAAATAATCAATATCAACTCAAGTATTTTAAATATTTTCATGTCTCATTGCAATATAAACCAAAATGGAAATAAAAACCCAACGAAGATTGCCAATTGGAGCTCAGATTATAACCTGCTTTAAATAACAGATTTCAATAATACCATTACCCTGTTTGCCCAACTATTAATATTTCCAGAAAGCTTTGAAAAATATATTAAATTGGCAAACTTCAACTAGCAATATAGATTAGAATCCTTTTTGATATTGTGTTTTCAAAACAGATATATATCTAAAATCTACTCCATGAGGGTCCTTGGAGAGAACATATTTTGAAAAAGAAAATTTTGGGTAAATCTAGTGTGTACTATAATCCAGAATTCTGTTTATTTGGGGCGATATGGTCTTAATTTTTTTTATTACACTATATATTTCTATATGTGCCACAGCATGTGGGTGGAGGTAAAAGAACTTGCAGGAATCAGTTCTCTCTTTCTGTCACACAAGTCCTGGGAGCACAAGTACCTTTATCTGCTGTGCCATTTCCTAGGCCCAGTTAGTTAGATTTTGAGACAGTGTCTGACTATGTATTTTAGGCTGGCCTTGAACTCAAACTTAAGATGTTTTCTCCGTTTCAGCTTCCCAAGTGCTGGGCTGATAGGCTTGTGATTTCACATCTATTAACAACTTATTATATAAATAACTTTTCAGAATTAATTTTAAGTGAGATGACTAGTTCAATACAACCTAGCTCAAAAGATAAATAAGGCCAGGATATAAGGATGCAAGAAGAGAATCTCTCCAAGGAATTTTAGAGTCTATTAGGAAAGGTACATTCATAAACAACTGCAATACAGAGTGCTAAGTACTACAACAGTGATATTTATTAAGTTATATGTGAAGCCCAAGGCATTTATAAACATTTGTATTTAATAAATGATTATAAAGATGAAATTCTTAGACTTACAGAGTATTTTGATATGGTAACTATAATTAGTATTACTTCAAATATGGGTTTGTTTGTTTTTTTAAAAAAAATCTGAAGTATACTAACATTTGGGGCACATACCCTTTAATCCCAGCATTTGGGAGGCAGAGGCAGAGCTCTCTGGGCTCAAGGCCAGCCTGGTCTGCAGAGCAAATTCCAAGAAATCCAGGGCTACCCAGAGAAACCCTGTCTCAAAAAACTAAAAGATTTGGGAGCATAACATATTATTTGTGATGCTTTGTACTAATTGTCATCTTGACACAATCTATTAATCACCGTGTAGACAAATCTCTGGGCATGTCTGTGAGACAATTTCTAGATTAGGCTGAGGTGGGTGGCATCATTGCATGGGCTGAGGCTCCAAACTGAATAAACGAGAAGCAAACATTTACTGTTCTCTGCTTCTTGACTGTGGATTCAATGTGACCAGCTGCCTCATGCCCCAGCCATACCACCACTTCCCTACACAATCCAAACTGAACAAACCCTTCCTCTTTTTCTTTTTGTCTTCTCTCCTTTTCTTTTTGTCTTTTGAGGCAGGGTCTCAATATGTAGCTCTCTGGTTTAGAACTCAAATAAGTGTCTGATTCTGCCTCCCTAGTGCTGGAATTAAAGGCATGCACCACTACATCAGCCCAAATTCTTCCTTTCTTAAGTTGCTTTGCTCGGGTATTTTGTCAAAGCAATGAGGAAAGTAACTAATACTTCACTATGCAAGGATCTAAAACAATATTTGAAACAAAAGCACTAGATTTGATTACCAGCTAAAAGATTTTTTAAAAAAACCTTAAGAACCATGCCTACCATGCATTTATAGTGTGCAGCTGCCTTCTTGGCATTAAATATATGCAACTTCCCTCTTGCTTCATTTTCTTCCTCCCCTACATGGCAAAATCCACATTTAGGCCTAGTGTCATTAGGACTGCTCCTGTGTGGAGATCTATCCCGCTGTAAATATAAAAGGAAAAAGACAGTTAAAATGGATTCAAAGCTTATTAACACTTCAAACAATATATCTTACCTGTAGACACAGTTTAAATGGAACTATTCATGTTCCAACAAACGGGAGGAATTCACTAGTTTTCTACTTACATAGGAACTACTTTCAATTTCGTCTGTTCCATGGGAAGATGTAGATCGGGTGTCTTCTGTCAGCCCTTTAAAATTAGTTTTCCTTGGTCTTCCTTTGCGACTTTTCTTCTTAGTCTTTGGAGATGAGGGCTCCAGTTCATGCTCATTAAAACTTTCTTCTAAATCAGCTGCTCAGAAAGAAAGCAAAGCTTTACATGGATCTACTTTAACAACCAGCACTAGGTCCATGAGGTCTGCTAGGTCTGGGAGCTATGCTTCTCATTAGCATGAAATGGGCCCTGGAAATGCAGAGGACTGGTCTGGGGCATATTAAAAATAAGTGTTGTGATACTGGCTGTGTGGCTTTTCAGCATCATTACAATTATAATAAAATAATCTCAGACATACTGATCACATCTCAAGAACTTATTAGACACACTGGGCAAATGGCAACAGCATTAGCAGAGACCTTAATTTCCATCACTGCAGTTCTATGGACAGCACTGATATATATGGTTCATCCATTGTGATAACTGAACAAACAACTCCAACTTTAAAGCCATTTATGACTGACCTAATTGATAAATAGTTAAACATATCTTAAGTACAAAAAGAAGCTCTATCACAAGCAATAAAAAGCCATTAGTGAGTTAGCTGCATGTACTTTCATTAAACTCTTAGGAATTTTACAACTACTTTACCCATAAATGAGAAAAGAATTCTACAATTAACAGAAAGTATTTCATTCAATTATTCACCATAAATATTTATTTATTAAAGGCCCAATATTTGAGGATATGCGATGGCTTGGTGGGTGAAGGTACTTGCTGCCAAGCTTGGCAACCTAAGTTCAAGCCCCAGAATTGACATAAAGACAGAAGGAAAGAAACACCACAAAGTTGTTATCCTCATCTGCTGTCTGGCACATACATGCATCATACATAGACATAGTTTTAGTAAACATTTTTAATATAAGTACTTATAAGATAATGTATTTAGTATTAAGAATGGTACAAAAACCAAACATTAATTTGCCTTGGGGCCAACCTATAAGTTTTAGACAAAACCTTCTAATACATTCATTGGTTTTCCTTTAGTATGTTACTGACTGTAATTCTACGAACTAATTTCTCAATGAGAAATTCTATCAGCTCTATTCTCAGATGCCAATATCTTTCTTAGGATATACATTCATGATTCGTGATAGGGGAAAAGAACAACTCAGTATGTTTGAATACATATAAACTCAGGGATAACACTAATATTAGATTATAAGGTAGTTATACCAATTAGTCCCAGAGAGTGAGGTGAGAGAATTTTTGAAACCAATTTTAGGTCCAGAGAAATGGTGGCTCAGCAAGTAAAAGTGCTTGGTGCCAAGCCTGACAACCTAAGTTCGATCCCTAGGATTCACATGATGGAAGGAGAGAAATGACAAGTTGTCCTGTGACCTCCATCCATATGCACACTGTGGTATGCATATGGCCCCCGACATACACACATACACACAAATGTAGCAAGTTTTAAGGTAATTTTAATTGCACCTTTGTACTCTTTAGTGTTTTAAATAAGCAATGTGCTGCTTTTCTAATCATAAGAATGAGGATTCTTTTTCCATCACTTATGAGAATGTAAGTTAGCACAATTTTGATTCTACTTCACTTTTTTACCTTTAAAAAAAGATTTATTTTTATTTTATGTGTTCGGATGTTTTGCCAGCATGTAATGAGTTTTCTACCTGTGTGCCTGGTGCCCCAGAACTAGAGTGGTAAACTGTTACGAGCCACCATGTAGGTGCTAGGAAGAAACTCAGGCTCTCTCAAAAGCAGCACTTCTCCAAACCCCCTTTAACCTGTTTTGAGATAGGTTTTTACTTTGTAGTCTAAGGTGGCCTTGAACTTATGGCAACTGCCCGAATTCCTTGACTTCCTGAGTGCTGGGATTATAGGTTTGAGTGACCATATCCATAGCCTAAAAATGATCTTAAACAAACCACCACTCATAATTCATAGCTCCTTATAGATAATCAAATGTTTAGGGATTATAAACTGTCTATTAATGTAGTTTTACGAACATAGACTAGTAGCAATAAGCTAGAGCTAGTTGCTATTATCAATACTCAGCTTTTAAAAGATTTCTTTTTGTATTTGTGTATGGATGTGCACATTCATGCTGGTTTCTGCAAAGGCCTAAAGAAAATGTTGGACCCACAGGAGCTGGAGTAAGAGGAGTAACCACCTGATGTGAGTACTGGGGACTGAACTCGGGTCCTCTGAAAGAGCAGCAAGTGCTCCTAACCACTGATCCTTTCTTCAGCCCCAAATTGATTAATTTAAAATTTTTTGAAGTTGTATCTCTTTTTGTTGTATGTGTATGCGTGTTTTGCCTGAAGATATGTCTGTGCACCAAGTGTATCAGTGTCTCCAGAAGCTAGAAGAAAGTGTCAGACCCTCTGGAATTGGAGTTACGGACAGTTGTTAGTTGCCATGTGGGTGCTGGGAACTAAACCAAGGTCCTCTATAAGAGTACCTAGATCTCTGAATTGCGGAGCCATCTCTCTAGCCCTGTACTTACTGCTTTTAAAATGCTGCTTTAAAGAGGGTTCAGAGAAATAGCTCAGGTTCGGTGGGTAAAGATGTTTGCCACTGTGCCTGACAATCTGAGTTCAGTCCTTGCATGTACATACATACACATGCATGCACAAACACAAACGCACAAAAATAAAGAAAAATAATTTAAAAAATTTAAAGGCTGGGCTGGAGAGATGGCTCAGCGGTTAAGAGCACTGATTGCTCTTCCAGAGGTCCTGAGTTCAATTCCCAGCACCCATATGGTGGCTCACAACCATCTGTAATTCCAGGGCCAGGAGATCTGACACTTTCAGACCAATGCACATAAAATCAAGTTAAAAAAAATTTAAAGGCTGCTGGGTAGAGATGGTGCATGCCTTTAATCCTAGCACTCAGGAGCCAGAGGCAGGAGGATCTCCTGGAATTCAAGGCCAATTTGATCTACAAAGCAAGTTCTAGAACAGCCTACACTGTTACTTAGAGAAACCCTGTCTTGAAAAAAAGGGGAATAAACAATATAGTTCCTACTCAGATACATACAAGAAAAACATGTAAAGATATAGTGCTTAGCTAAGCATGGTAAAATATATCCATAAAACTAACACTCAGGCTGTAAGCAGCAGGATCTTGAGCTGGAGGCCAGCATGGGCTACATAATAAGACCCTGTTTCAAAACAGCACAACTAGACGAATTACATAGGATTTAATTCTGTATATTCTTGCCCATATTTAATGCATAAACTTCCCACTAAGAATAGAAAAGTTTAAGAACACTAGTCAATATCACACATAGCTACCACACTAGATGATGCAAAGAAGGAACATCAAGCAAAATTCTACTGATGTTGACAAGTCATTCATCTCTCAAAGCTTGATCTCTATTGCTTTGTAAAAAGCCAGGTATCTTTCCATCCACACCACTTAGCTAAGCCAGAACTTCTCAAGCTTGATCTTGTTAAAAGACAGTCCTTTTTAGAAAGTCAATGTAAGGCTTAAGATTAGACACTTTTAATAAACTCATAGATGTTGCTCATCCTGCTGACCTATAGACTACACTCTGGGTAAAAAGGATCTATGACACTCACTTCTTCCTCTCCCAGTTGCTAACAACTACGAACTCTCCTGCTCATGTTACCTAACACAACAGGCTTTCTTTAGCACACAGCTCTTCTCTGTTCCAACAGTCCTCATTCTGGCTAATTTCAACTGACCATATGGGCAAGCTAGCCACTCAATTACATTACCTTCAATGATGTCCTCCATCAAGTACCCAATTCCTAAAGTCAGACCCTGATACCTCAGTATCACCTAAAATGCTTCCCTTTGTGTAACTTTGGGAAATACTTGTTTGCTTTCCCAGCACCCATATGGTGGCTTGCAACTATCCAGAGCTGCCTTCTGGCCTCCATGGACATTAGGCATGCATATGGTGCACAGACATACATGTAGGCACCTAAGATAAAAATACATCTAAGGTCAGTCAGTGGTGGCGTGAGCTTTTAATCCCAGCACTCGGGAAGCAGAGGCAGGCAGATCTTTGTGAGCTTGAGCCCAACCTGGTCTACAAAGCAAGTTCCAGGACAGGCCCCAAAGCTACACAGAGAAACTCTGTCACAAAAAACCAAAGCCAAACAAAAAAATACAACTAAAACTAAAGATAAGATTATGCCTCAAATTCCAGAATATAAATATAAACATATACTAAATACCAAGAAAACAAAAGGGCCTGATAGTCTACAGAAGTATACCATGAACCCAGAAACTCAAGCCAATTTGAAGTTGTTCATAAAGTATGAAATATAACTAGAATTCTCTCACTCAGCAAAAGGAACTCAAAATCATTCTAGTTGGGTCTTTGAGAGAATTCAGGCAGTAAGGACACTTGCTGCTTAGGCTAAAGACATGAGTTCAATCCTGAATTACACATGATAGAAGGAGAAAACCAACTCCCAAAAATTGTTTTTGTTATACACGCACACACAAACAAAGGCTCATACTAAATAAATAAATGTAAAAATAAAACAATTTTTAATAACCTTTCTTAGTATGCCCTGCACTGCAGTGGCTTTTTTTTACCACTAGATGGTACTACTGGTTTCAGCAGGCCAGAAAATAAAATAAGAGCCAGCTATATTAATCAGCATATATTAATCATCTTTAAGTATATCAAGTATTCTGTCCCAGTATATTCATATACTGAATCTCAATCCTCAGCTCTTAACACAGATGGCTAAACTAATCATAAACGGGTGCTGTATAGATACACTGTTAAAATCTGAAGGAAGTGAATGATGGGAAAGCTTCCTTACAATGGTTTTCTTCCTTTTTCATATGGTGTTTAGGTTGGAACCCAGCATTGCGCATAACAAGCAAGCCACCTTCCACTGAGATACACTGCCAGCCCCTACTTAGAACCCTTCACAAAAGATTTTTAATTAAGAATTCTAGAATTGAGTGAAAAAAAATAGAAAAATAGCTGTATGGGATTTTCAATCACACTCATCACCTCAAAAAGTATTTGTTCTTATTGCTTATCCGGTCATTTCCAAAGAGGCCAGAAGAGGGCACTGGATCCCCTGGAGTTGGGAGTCACAGGCAGATGTGTGCTACCTGATATGGATGCTAGAAACCAAACTTTAGTCTTCTAGAATAGGATCAAATGCTCTTTACTACAAGCCACGTCTCCAGCCCTATATTCTCCTTTTTAAGAGCACACAAAAAAGTTTGTTAAAAATTCATTTATTTTTACTTATGTATATGTGTGCCTGCTTATCTATATTCAATGATGAATTTATACTTAACTATTATTTTAATTGTATGTATTTGTAGAATATAGCATAATAACTCTACATATGGATAGAGTGTATGATGACCAAATCAGTTAGCATGTGTAGCTATTAAATCATTTGTTCCAAATTTTAATTAACATTAAGTATCATGCATATTTCAGTGCACATATGATGACTGTATTTTTTTTTAAATATTTATTTTTATTTATTATGTATACAATATTCTGTCTGTGTGTGCCTGCAGGCCAGAAGAGGGCACCAGACCTCATTACAGATGGTTGTGAGCCACCATGTGGTTGCTGGGAATTGAACTCAGGACCTTTGGCAGAGCAGGCAATGCTCTTAACCTCTGAGCCATCTCTCCAGCCCTGATGACTGTATTTTTAAGCAGTATGAATTAATATGGACTTCAGATGTGAAAACAGTATGATTTTCTACTGTAAAAGCAAAGTATAAGAGATCAGAAAGGGAAACCAGTTTATTTATTTATTTATTTATTTATTTATTTATTTTTTGGTTTTTCGAGACAGGGTTTCTCTGTGGCTTTGGAGCCTGTCCTGGAACTAGCTCTGTAGACCAGGCTGGTCTCGAACTCACAGAGATCCGCCAGCCTCTGCCTCCCGAGTGCTGGGATTAAAGGCGTGCGCCACCATCGCCCGGCTGGAAACCAGTTTATTTATACCAGTAATCAGGTAAGTGGATTTTCTAAGGATTTATTTTTAGTGTATGTGTATGTTGAGAGAGAGGTATGTAGTTAGGTGTTCATGAGTTCAGGTGCACATGGAGGCCAGAGGAATCAGACCCTAGGAACTACCCAGCATGGCAGTTGGGAATCAATTTCGTGAATTCTAATTGGTTTTAAGAATAAAAACCCAAAGTCAGATATCAGGGTAAATGCTGAAAGATCAGAGAAGTAAAGGAGCCAGCCACTAGAGAGACTTTTAAACTCTATTGAATCCTTAGACTGAAGGGGCAAGATCCTATCTCCACGAATCCTCAGACTGAATGCCTTGAGCACTGATCCCCCCCACCTCCCCACCCCCACGTTATAGTTTTCTCTCTGCCCAGCCATATCCCTTCCTGCCTCCATTTTTCCCTAGTTTTGGGATTATAGGTGTGTGAGTCCCGAGTACTGAAATTAAAGAAATGAGCCAACACTGCCTGGCTCTGTTTCTCTTTTGGACTGGATCAATTTCGGGTAGCCCAGGGTGACCTTGAATTTACAGAGGTCTGTCTACCTCTGCCACCACTGCCTGGCCTCTACAGCTAAAAACTAGTGGCTAACTATGCACTCTGATTTTCAGGCAAGTTTTATTTGTTAGATTACAAACAAAATATCACCACAGGAATCCATCTCTGATCCTTTTTAAGAAGGCTTTATATCTCTCCAGGCCCTAGCTAAGTCTTTAAAAAAGATCAGCAACAAGTCCAGCATAGTGGCACACACCTTTAATCCCAAAACTTTTGGGAGGCAGGGACAAGGGAATCTGGCTACATAATAGAGAGACCCTGTCTCAAAAGGATCATCAACTTCCTAAAATACCAGTATTTGATCCATTTTAATTTTGAACAGAACAGACTTAGAAGCTAACAAAAAAATTTAAAGACTTAAGTCCAAGTTAAATGAAAAATTAAAATTAATCTGAGATTGAATCTCATCCATTTTATACTGCTAGTAGACATTTTTATACTGCTAGTAGACATTATCAAAACCATCTATTTGAAAAGGTTTGAGCCAGGGTTGGAGAGGCGGCTCAACAGTTAAGAGCACTAACTGCTCTTCTAGAGGACCTAAGTTGGATCGCCAACACCCATATGGAAGCTCACAAGAGTCTGTAACTCCAGCTCCAGGGGACCTGACATGCTCTTTTAGCCTCCATGGGTACAGGATATGCTCATGGTGTACAGACATACCTGCAGGCAAAACACCCACACACTTAAAACAGAAAAAGAAAAAATAAAAGGTTTGACCCAAGTCAGAATCCAACTTGAGAACTAACTTCCTCGTGCTTTAAGGACCAGATGCAAATTAGCTAACAATATGTAAACATGATTAAACTAGTTTTATAAATTTAAGTGGAAACAAAATAAGCTTCTATTTTTAAATCTTAGTTACTTGTAAAGTATCTATTTTCTTCTGGAAAAAAAAATATATCTCCACATATTTCTCAGTGAGGGATGTGTTTTTAAATTCCCAGTCAATATGCAAAATCATGAATAATTCTAAACTTTTTTCCCTACATATACCTACTTATGATAAAGTCTGACTTATAAATTAAGGACAATAAAGCATTAACAACAATAACTATTAACGAAACATAAACATATTGTAATCAAAAGTAACTTAGAACTTGTTAATTTTGAAAATTTCTACTTAATATTTCTGGATCATGAGAGCCCAAAAGTAAATGAAACAATGGAAAGCAAAATCATGAATAAGGCTACCACATAAAGCTACCACAATGTGTTGAAATTTTCCTAGAACGTATGCTGATCCAAAGTACATTAGTATTCCTACATTCACATTGTCTATAAGAGCTAATGAAAGCAAGAATCCCAATTAGCACCCTTCCAGAAACATCACTGTTACCACTGTTTCTTCCTAATGTGACATAAGTTTTCAATGTATACTTTATAAGATCTCTGAGGTAAAAATTTTCTTTAAAAATTAGCTCTTATTTACATTAGTTTGTTCTAATGATGTCCCTTGATGTGGGACTCCCCTCTGTATATCACTGATTAATAAAAGAAGCTGCTTCAGACTATAGCAGGGCAGAACACAGCCAGGCTGGAAGATATATATAAAGTAGGTGGAGTCAGTGAGATGCCATGTAGCCACAGGAGGAAATAGATGGTGGAACCTTGCTGGTAGGCCATAACCTCATGCTGATGCACAGATATAAGAGCTAGCTAGAAATATGTATAAGCTAATAGGCCAAGAAGTGTTTAATTAATAGAGTTTCTGTGTGAACTATCTTGAGAAAAACCTTAACAAATCACCATTCATATTTTATTTACATTTCTTCCTGAAACATGAAACTGACTGATGAGACATACCTTCAGAGTTATGTGCCGTTTTCTTGTGTTTTCGACAATAAACCCTGAGGGGGAAAATACAAAATCATGAACTAAATTAAATTCAGCTTCCAAATTACAAGAATGAGTAGCACAGTCCACCCCATTCATAAACTGAATTTTTTAAATCTCACTGTTACACTTCCTAAATCATTTCTTTAACTATTACATATCAAAACAGCCTTTATAGTGACAATGAAATGCTTTGAATGAGGAGAAACTATAAAAGCTGAAGGAAAGTATGATTGCTTTAAAATAAAGCAAAATGAAACAGTTACATGTAAATGCCTTGTGAAGGTTTCTCTCGGATCTGAGCTTTATCATGCAATGCACAGTGGTAGTGGTATGTCCTGTGGCAGGTTTTCACATCACAGCCAATTGTTGCTCCAGGACAATGGCACAAAGAACACATCTAAAGAAAAACAACAAAACAATATTCAAATGTGAGTTTGCTAATACTGTCACAAACAGCTGAGGGGCATTCCAATTTCTGTCAGAAAAAGCAAGTTGGTTATTGAAAAAATTCTAATTCATATTAGTTTTCTTATTTTGTCTCCTAAAAATAATCTGAATAAAATAATTCTGTTGGTACTTTTTTCATTGATTAAAAAATATAGGCTGAACTCAAAGAAAAACATATATTTATCTTTCTGGATATTGGAAGTAGACAAGATCGCTGGGCAAAAGTTGAGAGCATGGTGGTGGGGGTGAGGGAAAGGGGAGATGGGGAGACAGAAGGGAGAAGGGGAGGATTGGGGAGAACTTGGGGGAATGGGATGGTTGAGATGGAGGAAGGGTGGTTATGGGATCAGGGAAGTATATATCTTAATTAAGGGAGCCATTTTAGGGGTTCCCAGGTATCCAAGGGGATGTCCCCACCTAGGTCCTTGGGCAGCAGAGGAGAGGGTGCCTGAACTGGCCTTATCACATAGCCACACTGATGAATATCTTGCATATCACCATAGAAACTTCATCCGGCGATGGATGGAGATAGAGACAGAGACCCACATTGGAACACTGGGCTGAGCTCCCAAGGTCCAAATGAGGAGCAGAAGGAGGGAGAACATGAGCAAGGAAGTCAGGACCGTGAGGGGTGTGTCCACCCATGGAAACAGTGGGACTGATCTAATGGGAGCTCACCAAATCCACCTGGACTGGGACTTAAAGAGTATGTGATCAAACTGGACTCTCTGAATGTGGCTGACAATGATGGCTGACCGAGAAGTCCATGATAATGGCACTGGGTTTTGATTCTACTGCATGTACTGGCTTTTTGGGGGCCTAGTCTGTTTGGATGCTCACCTTCCTAGACCTGGATAGAGGGGGGAGGGCCTTGGACTTGCCACAGGGCAGGGCACCCTGACTTCTCTTAGGACTGGAGAGGGAGGGGGAGTGGGAGTGAGAGGAGTGGGAGGGAAATGGAAGGAGGAAAGGAGGTGGAAATTTTGAATAAATAAATAAATTTAAAAAAATTAAAAAAAAAAACAAAGATACTTCCTTTGACTGCCTCTGGGGGGAAAATATAGGCTATTATAAATGTCTGTTATTTCTCTATGGTCAAGAGAATACCTGAAATACTGTAAATCATGAATCTGAGCTATATATAAATACCACTATAAAAAGATTAACTTCTTTTGCAATCCAGAACTTGCTGGATACAATTAATTAGGAAAAATACCACATAAGATTTTTTTTTCCTTAAAACTTCCAGTTAAATCAGAGAGAGTGTTAATACAGCTCAGTGATACACTGCTTCCTCAGTCACAAAACCTACCAGCAGTCCCTAGTACCAGTGGTCCCTGGTACTACCACCAAAACCAATTTTCAAACCAGATTTAAATGAAGATTAAGAAAGATTTAAATGAAAATCGTTGAGAAAAACTCCCCTATACTATTTGGGAACCTGGTAGAATCAATTGGAAGTTAGGTCAGTAGAGAGGATAAAAGAATTATAAAGTAGTTTTAATACCTTGAGTTGAGAATATTTTGTGATATCTAATTGATTATACTGTGAAAATAGGCCTGCCTGCTTCAATTTACTTTTACTTACCGTCTGCATTATGAATTCAAGGCAACAGAGAGAAGATTCTTTCAATTCGATATTATCTTACGTTCTGAACTTATTAGATGGTAATTAACCAGCTCATACTCTATATTTAGAAAACAATTCTGTTTTTAAAAGTACATAACAATCATTAGTAACGGTTTTGGTTCAGAAAACACAGTGTACTGCACCCTGTGGACTTTTAATGTGCCATCTCCTAAGCTATAAATGCCATAGCAAAGTGAATCATAATAAGGTAAAAACAGAGCCTTCACTTTGTTTCCTGGTTGCCAGATACCTTGCTCTAAACTCTCATCTCAGTACTCTGGAGACCAAGGATGGAGTGTCAGATCAGCCTGGGCTACATTTACTGAGACTCTCCTCCAAAATCCAAACCCAAGATCAAACAAGCAAAAAACAAACACCACTTATAATCCTAACTTTTGGACTACTTAGTCCCTAAGCAACACTGATGTATTAAGAGGCTAATATAAATTCCAATAAAATTTTCCACATTTCTCTAAAGAAATCTCTCAAACTATCATTTTTAAAAATATTCATGTAAGTCAAAAATACTCTCAATGTAGGTACTTCCCAGAAATCATAAGGGCCACTATCCACTATTAATACACAAGAAATCACCCACTTCTTCAAATGAGTACCGAAACTCCAAGTAATTACCATAAAAAGAAACACTGCGCTCATGGAGGAACAGCAAGATCACAGAGCACTTGCTCAGCATGTATGAGGCCTTAGGTTTGACCTTCACCTCCAGCACCACCAAAATGAAGAATTAGTTTCTACAAAGTTTATACCCTTTGTTCTAATAATTGCACTTCTACACATTTACTGCAAATATCATCAGGCATAAAAAATTATGTTCAAACACATTCATTGCAGAACTGTTCTGAATCGTTTTAATTACAAAAAAACAACTGAAACATGTTCAAATAAATTGCAGCACGTCCATATGAAGGAATGTTCTATTGCTGCTCCTTTAGAGAACTTTTCCTTCAGAGAGCATCTCATATTATAGCTACGTTGGACTCAGATTTGGGACCTGCAGCCTCAAACTACCTAGTGCATACCCAGCTTCAAAGTAATGGGTCTATTTATGTTCAATGAAACACCAATAGAGGGTATGAAACTAAGTCAATTTCTATCTCAATTATATTTCTAGTATATGGTCTTTGAAAATGAATAGAAACCAGGTGGTGGTGGTACACGCCTTTAATCCCAGCACTTGGGAGGCAGAGGGAGCAGATCTCTGTGAGTTTGAAGCCAGCCTGGTCTAAGCAAGTTCCAAGACAGGCAGAGCTACACAGAGAAACACCTTGACTCAAAATACAGAAAGAAAAAAGGACTGAAAGAAAGAAAGAGAGCAGAAGTAAATATAGCAAAATGCTGGGTTCCTATCTTTAGATGGTTTTAATTCTCCATATTCTCTACAATATTCAAAGTATTTTGTTATAAAAGTTATTTTTTAAAGTATCAGAAATAGTTTAGTCAATGCATTCGTGTTTGTTGATCAGCTGAGAAAGCAAAGGAAACCAAAATATGCCAGTATTTGGGGGGGGGGGAGCTATGAATTCAGATACATCCAAAGTAAGTTGTTTAAGCTGCTATGGGAACAGAAATCAATTTCATAAATAACCAAGTACATCAACATAGGAAGATCATGTTTTTAAAGCAATCAAAAGCTTATTTTGTTGTCAGTTCCATTCAATGAAGAATAGGACAAAATATTTTAGAGTAGAAAATACTTGTCAAGATAAGGAATATAATTTCTTTGGAGTTTTGGATTTGGGGTGAGGGTATTTATGTAATACTTTAAAATTTGTTTTTCCTTATTTTCTATGGGTGTTTGTCCATGGAGGCAAGATGAGGGATCAGATCCCTGGGAACTGAAGTTACAGACAGCTGTGAGCCACCATAGGAATTGAATCCTGGTCTTCTGGAAGAACAGACAGGTGTGTGTGTGTGTGTGTGTGTGTGTGTGTGTGTGTGTGTTTTGGTTTCTGTTTTGTTTTTTGAGACAGAGTTTCTCTGTGTAGCCCTGGCTGTCTGGGAACTCACTCTGTAGACCAGGCTGGCCTTGAACTCACAGATCCACTTGCCTCTGCCTCCAGAGTGCTGGGATTAAAGGCTTGCATCACCACAGTCTCACTATACAGTATTCTTAACCACTGAGCAATTTGTCCATCCACTTGTTTTATTTTTTGACATAAGGTCCCAGTATGTAGCCCAGTCTACCCCCAACTGTGTCAGCCTTCCAAATGTCAGGAATTTCTACCCTCACTCTTCCACCTCTCACTGTGCTCTCCTAATCATCCACGCTTTAGCCCAACGCCTGCAGCAACTCTCTTCCCTCCATTCCTACAGGACAGGGTACATACCAGCTTCCTCTTAGTTCTTACAATTTCCCTCCCTATTTGGCTAGTATTTATAAGTGGATAGATTTTTACCTAACCATCCCTTCTCTATTATTTTTTATAACACTAGAGAAGGCCCCCAGGCCTCTGTGCATGGTAGGCAAGCACTCTCCCCCTGAAAACTAAGAGAGTGCTCAATAGATTTGCTGATTTTTGTCAACATAATTAATTTGTTAATTCTGTTATTGAAGACTGAAATATCTTACACACAAAAACTTAAAAATTGAAGACTTTACCTATTTATCTTTAGATGATTCTAAAAATAATGAACTGGATGTAGGCATATACCTTTGATAGCAGAACTCTGGAAACTGAGGCAATTTCAAGTTGGATGGCAAGTTGAGTTCAGGGTTTATTCAGAAACAAACAGTGGCTAGAGAGATGGTTCCCTGGATAAGAGAACTTGTTGCTCTTGCAGAGGACCCAGGGTCAGTTCTCAGGACCCACACAGTGGGTCACAACAATCTGTAAGTCCACTTTCAGAAGATCCAGAACTCTCTTCTAACCCATGAAGGCACTGCACAATACATGCAATACACTCACACACTAAAACAAACAAAACACACAAAATAGCTTACAAATGGTTTGATCTGGGACTAGAAAAAGTGAACTTGAGGGCAATTCAGTTTGAAAGAATACAGAGTATAGGGAGGAACAAATTAGCCCTTCTTGAAACAAGATTGAAAGCTTAAAGATATATATCACAATTAAAGAAGCTAGGAAAGAAGGTAAGTAGGTAGAACCATTTCTGAAATGCTATGGCAAACAGAAACAAAAAAGAGGCCTTTTCTTTTTTCTTTCTTTTTTATCTTTTTGAGACATGATTTCACCGTGAAACAGTCCTGACTGTCCTGAAACTCACCCTGTAAACCACACTGGCTTTGAACTTACAAAGATCTGCCTGAAAGGCCTTTTAATTTAAAAAAAAGAAAAAGA